CCGGGTGCCCACGGGCAGCGCCCGGACGCTGCTGGTCTGGGGGCTGGAGCCGGAGCCGGGCCTGGAGGTGAGGCGAGGCCTCGGACCGGGCCCCGGGACACCCCTGCAGGGCTGGGGAGCAGGGCCCGGGATCCCCCCACGATCCCTCTCCCCCCTCAGAGCCCAGGCCTCAGTTCCCCCCATCTCTACTCATCGCCTGTGTGCTAATAAGAGTTTATTGAACTGCTCCCTTTGTTTTGTTTTGTTTTGAATCCTTTTTTCCTTGCCTTGTCTCCCCGAGGCACGCTGGGCACAGGGCAGCCCCAGGGAGGTGTCAGGTCCCCCCAGGGGGATTTCTGTCCTGGGGCCAGGGCCGGGTTTTTGGTCTGCCCAGCACAAGGTGGGAGAGGGAACAAAACCTCGTTAGCCTGGCTGTAAAATAAAAATATTGTCCTCACATTTCACTGACAGCTCCAGAAAACGGTGCAGCCACGCAAAGGAGAGAGCAGGAGATGGTCTGGGGTGAGGATGACAAGGGGACAGAAAATCCCACCTTGGTCTTCACTCTGCTCCTGATCCAGAGGTGGATGGTAATGGAGATGGGGCTCAGGGTCAGAGGTTCAGTCAGGTTGAGCTTATTTTTATGCAGAAATATTCATCTTCAGCCTCACTGTTACTCCAGAACTTCTTGCCATTAAACTCATTTTCTAGCTGATTAGTTCTTGCGACCAGTCCTCTCTCTGTCGCTCTTGCTCAGCTGCTGGAGCACCGACAGATATTCCAAAATAACCTCTTTTTCCTCTTTTCTTTAATTTCCCCTCAGCACTCCCTGTTCTCAGTGTTTTCCCAGTTTGGGCCACTCTACTCGGTGCGGGCGCACAGGAACGCTGCCGTGGCAGGGCCGGGGTGTTACGCCAGCATCAAGTTCTACTCAGCTGGAGCTGCAGGCAGAGCCCAGCGCGCGTGCAACGGGCAAAGGCTGTTTCAGAACTCCCCCGTGAAGGTGGGTGAGCAGAACAGCCCCGCAGTGGGACGTGCAGGACTCGGCACTGGGACCTGGAGTCTCCTGAAATACTTGATCTCGGCGATGCTGCCGCTGCGGTGGCATCCCCCACCCCTGGCTGCCAGGGAGCCTTTAGGGAGTAAAATGGCAGCATCCCTGCTCTGGAATAACTTGCAGGGTGTGTTCCTGGGTTCAACAATATTGAAGACCCCTCGGGAGCATGCCTGTGGTCAGGGATAGGTTGCCTTCAAGTGGCTCTTCTGGAGCCATCAGTGGTGTGTCTGCAGTGGGCACCGTGCAGGCAAAGCCGAGCTGACCAGGGGTGTTCTCTCCTGGCAGGTTTGTGTTTGCACCAAGCAGCAGGAGTTTCAGCAACAAGTCCTTGCTCTCAGCAGCACGAAGTGCCAGGAGCTGGCCAACTACTACCTTGGTTTTAACGGCTGGTCCAGTCGCATTATCACAGTAAGGGACCCTTTGTACTCCTCTGCTGTCCTTCCCCTCATCCTCTTCCCACCCTGTACTCTCAGCTAGAGCTGCTGGTGGAATTAGAAGCGTTGTCCTCAAACCAGCAAATGACAGACAGCTACAAAAGCTGTATTTTGGTACCAGAACCTGGAGCAGCTGCCCAGAGAGGCTGTGGAGTCTCCTTCATCTGTAGAGAGTCCATACCCGCCTGGCTGTGACCCTGGGCACCCTGCTGGGGGTGAGCTGCTGGAGCAGGGGGGTGGATGAGGTGATCTCCAGAGGTCCCTCCCCACCCCCCCCATGCTGGGATTCAGCAGTTCTGTGACTTGTCCCACAAATGGGGTAGTTTGAAAGGGCAGAGGGAGGAGGTCACTGTGGGTGAGGGCACTGGCTGAGCTTCTGTTTCTCCAGCTGGGGGTGGCTGTGATTAAAGCAGGGCCAGGGCCTGACAGCCTTTGTGTGCTCAGAGTGTGGGAGATGACTGAGACTCAGAGCATGGGGACTCTGAGGTGCTTCTGAAGCAGAGTGGGGACAGGAGACACCCCTGCTCTGCCTCCACCAGGGGCTTCCGAGCCGCCCGCTGCGAGAGCAGCTCTGTGCTGCCCAGGCCAGGCCTGGAGAGCTTCCCCTTCCTCCCGAATCCAAACGAATCCCCTGTGGGCTTCCCGACAGCTGCAGGACGTCCCTGGCTGGGATGCTGAGAAGGAGGAACGGGGCGAGAGCTCTCGGAGGCGGGCTGTGCAGTCCCTGTGTGCTGTGGAGCTGGCGCTGCCCAACCACGGCGTCCGCAGCAGGGGCGTCGCCCTGGGCCGGGCAGAGGTGGAGGACGGCGAAGGTGGGCGCTGGGTGCAGGGGGCTCCCCCGGCAGCTG